TAAAAAATTAGTGCTTAGGGTTGGGATCATATTAGTTTACTTATATTCATTTAATCTCCTTGCAGAAAAATGTCTAAATATTTAAGATCCTCTTGGATTTTGGCTAACTGCTTTAAGCGATGAGTTTTAATCGATTCAGGTTCATTTTTAGCGGGGGAGGATAATTGATTGATTTGTTCTTGATAAGCAGCCCGAGCGGTTTTAAAGATTCCTAATTGTGGATCGGGGTCTAGCGGTGTAGTTCCTCAACTTTCGTTATGTCTCTGTCCTGCATTTCGTGTTATCGGTATATCCACATTAAACTTACTAAAAGCCAGAGCCTCTTGAATAACTTGCCGAATTCTTTTCGGAAGTCTTTGATACTCCTGAATTTTAATTCTTAAAACTTTCCAGGCTTGCTGAACTTCTTCGCTCAACATCTATTTTAGTTGTTCCCCTAACTCTTTAAACTCCTTCAATAAAGTTTCTAAAACCTTTTCATTTTCGGAGTTTTGGGCTTCCAGCAACTTCGTTTCTTTAGTTAAGGTTTCCACTTGCCGATTAACTTCATTAAGTTTAGTAGTGGTGGCGGTGAGGGTTTGTTCTTTGGCTTGGAATTTAGTAATAATCTTTTGTTTGAGGAGGGTGAATTCTTTCGTTAAAAGTTCTAATTTTTGTTTAAGCATATTTATTTTAGAGATTGGTTTAATTTTTTGATTTCCGAGATGAGTTGATCCAAAGTGGATTCTAATTCCGAGTCATCTTTAAGGGGGAGAGGGTTAGTTTGGGTAAATTGGGAAGAGGTTAAAGGTTGAAGGGGTTCGACTTTCTTCTTGGGTAGGTAATCGAAGAAGTAGTAAAGGAGAGCCAGGATGAGGAGATAAAAGAGAAGATCATTCATAGGTTATTTTGATTGAGTATTTTTACTTAATAATCAAACTGCTAATCAAGTTACCACCACCAAACTAATAATTAGACTATAATCAGTTCAAAAGTTGGTGGGATTAGTTGATTCACCTAGTTCTAATTTACTTAATTTTCACTCGGCCAAGGACTTTTCACCCTGTAGGCGAGTTCTTTGGGCGGCTAAGGATTGGACTCTTTGTTCTAACTGGCGAATAGCTTGGCTATCAGTTTGAGTTTGCTGGGATAAATCCTTTTCAACTGCTTTTAAGTTTTCGCGGTAAGTGCTAAATTCTTTAATCTTTGCTAAGCGGAGTGCTAAAATTTGGTCTTCTAACTCGGTAATCTTTTGTTTTAACTCGGCGGGGTTTTCTTCCGAAGCCAAGACAAATATTTCCTCTTTTTCTTCTAGTTGCTGTATTTTCTTTTTTAAAGCCTCGTTTTCAGTTTGTAAAGCACTTAATTCTGGATTCAAGGGAGGGGTGGGAATATCACCTAAACTCTTACTTCTTTTTAATCTTTTGATATCACTGGGTTTTATTCCTGCTTTAACCTTTTCTTTAAGTTCTTGTTGGAGTTGGTCTTTAGTCATGCTGGTTAATTAATTGCTCCCTTCAGGTGCGGCGGGCAGTTGGTAAATCTAAGTTAGTAAAATCAATGGTCTCTAAATCATGGTCTTCCTGGGTTACTATTTGCTTGGCAATCTCCAGGACGGCAATCCCACAATCTCAGGTATTGCCTTGCGGGAAGTGATAATGAGTTCGATAAAACCGACTTAGTTTTAAGTTATTTCGCTGATGTAAATGAGTTAATAATTCTTTTACTAAGGGTTTAACATAACTATCATTAGCACCTTTTAAGGTGTCAAAGTGATAGAATTTTTTAGTTTTGGTTTTATAAACTAAGAGACTTCAATGGAAGTTGGGGTTATTCACGGGAATAAAAACTAATTCTCCATTATATCCAGTTAGTTCACTTAACAAAACCGGAAAACTATCTCGGGCATCCGCATCCTTAGTTGTCATGGCTTCTTTAGCAAACATGAATTGGGTGGCTTCGAGGGATTTGAAGAAAGGAATTTTTGCGAAACTGGCGGGAGGGAATCAGTTAGTATTGGGCTCGGAGGGAGGAGTAGGTTCAGAACTATTGGCTTCGATTCACTCCTTTTCAATTTGAGTTAAGGCTCAATCAATTTCTTGATCCGATAATCAGTGTTTTTCACTAAATCAGTCTTTTTGTTCGGCCGGGAGTTCTTTAGTTAGTGGTTCCTTTTCCGTTTCACTATCTGAAGCATCTCAAACGACTTCGGGTTCCCCCTTAGTTGGTTTAGGTGAGGCTTGTTTTTTTCAGTAAAAATAGAGGGCAACTAAAACGATTGCTAAGATTAAGAGTTGGGTATTGGTCATGATTAATTACGGGGTAATTGAGTAAATTGGCATCATCAGCAGATCAGCGAGTTAGGGAGTGGTTTTCTTTTGTGACAGAAGAGACATTTATCCATTTTTATTTTAATCTTTGGGAAGTTTTTTTTAAACTTTTAATTTCTTTCTTTAATTCATCAATTTGCTTTTGTTCATGACCATTCTTTTTTTCTAAAATTATTTGTCGATCTTTTAATTTCAGAGTATAGTTAAAAAACATGGCTAATAAGGCTAAGATGACTACAAAAGCCCCCACGGCAATATAGAGGGCTAATTCACAGCAGGTAATCATAGTTAACTATTTCT